TGTAGTTTACCAAGATATTATTTGCAATGACATTTTGAAACAGTTGAGTAGTTTGACTTATAAAGCTACGAAAGTAATTAAAACAAGCAAGCGAAGCAAGCATACTTTTTAAACAAGTTTAGCACAATATTTTTTATTGTAAGCGGTAATTAACTTTATGATGTTTTGTTTAAGGAAAATATTTGTTTTTTATTTACTTTTCTTTCGTCAAAAAAAGATAACAAAACAATCAAGCAATAAAGCGATTAACCAAAACAAATGAAGTACCCACTTGAAGCTGTTGTAGCCAATATGACTAGCCAAAAATTGCACAAAGAAAACACTAAATTAAAAACAAGAAAAATGTTTACTTCAACTATAATACTCCCCAATAGACGCATTTCTTATAGCACAAAAGTGTATAAAAAAAACTTTATCTTGAGTTTAAACGATCACTTTGTATGGCAGCAATATGCTATAGTGGGCCGATATCGACGATTCTGACAAATAGACAGCTTCTTGGAAAGCAATGAACGTGTGCAAAAATTCAGAGCGTTTCCTTCAAAATGTTATTAATTTTAGGACAAATTCAGTGCATAATAAAGAAATAAATATAAAATAAATTTTATATAAAACGTAAAAATAAATATATTGGCTTTGTGATAAAATTCAATGCATTTTTTTTGTAGGGAGGTAGTATAATTATAAAGGTTATAACAATTGCATATATACAGAATTATGTTGTGATTTTTTTTCTACTGCACTCAAATTGCACTTGTTATGTTTCTTAAGATTTAAGACTTTTAAAATTGGTTTTGATACAAAAACTAAAAAAAAAATATACACAAATCTATTAATTTGAATTTCTTGCCATGTCATACCACACCGACCACGTACTAAATACGTTTACTTCAGCGGAAAAACTAGCCCACACTTTTTCATTCAGTCTAAGCACTTTACCTTAAGCAACTCAAACATCTATTTCCTTTTTCATTTCCCTTCAAATTACTGCTTTAAATTTCTATGTATGTATGTGCTCGTATTTTAGCCACCACTCCTGCGCCATGTAAACAACTCTCACTTCCGCTCTGGCAACCCTAATTGCATGTTGGCATGCTTTTATCGAAGTTTCCCCAGCATTTGCAGTAATTTTCTTTAGTAGCAGTACATTTGTAGCAAATAAATGAATATTTCAGTACTTAATTTGTATATATGTATGCGCGTAGAATATTTTTGGAGCCAGCTGGTCGCGACATATGCTGCAACTCGTGTGCCTTTATTTATAAGAATTTTTCCTGCATTTGCATTTGGGGGAGGAAATCTATGAAATAGCAATGGAAATGCATAATAGCGCCACACCACAAGCAAATGACAGGCGAGCATGTAGCAAGCAGCCTGTCGAAGCCAGTTGCACGATAAACGACAGACAGGCGGGCCCCAACCGAATACCAAACAACAATAAAAACACTAGATTGGTGCTGCCGTGAATTAAAACGGAAGTGCAGCGTTTTTTATGCTATTTCATGCACGCAGGTTCGTTTACCCTTAACCCCTAACAGCCGCGTGGTGAGCAAACTAAAATCCAACCAACGCACACGATTGCTCGCTTGTTTAGCATTTAATGCAATAAAGGAAAACGAAGAAAAAAAAGTTATAAAATATATAAAAACGTAGGTAATAGTTACGGCAATATGCGACATTTTAAGCGTATTAGCAAATGCCTGGTCAAATGTGGACTGGCTCGCTTGACCCGACTTGGTGCGCGGCTGATATAGGCTTTTAATGGATAGTGTGCGCTTTGGTTTGAAAGTCAGCTAGACAATTATGTGGGCACTTAAGTTGAGGGTGCACTAACAACCCTTATATTATATATTTATCGTAAGGCTTTAACAAGCCACGATGAGACATGTAGAGCTTGTAGATTTCTACAACAAACAATGCCACAGAATGTAAATGAATGCTTTAATTCAATGTTGCCAAAGGTTGAGTAGCGAAGTATATCGATTTCAACCCTGCTTTTATTTGCGCAAAGCATAGAGCTTGCGGCTGAGCGTTTAGAATTATCTGCTGGCGTTTTTAATAATGTATTGAATTAATGCATATTTCATATCATTTAACGAAGGCCGACGAATATTGCGTACGATAGGATTTATTGCGTTATTGCTAAATCAATTTTGATAGAAGTTGACAAAAATTGCTTATTTATTATCTTCTATTTTCATATTATATGAGTATTCAGCTTCTGTTGAAAATGCTGAGAGCTATCGAAAAAAAGTAATCGATAAATGTTCGACAAATGCCATAAAATAGCGCTGCACTTGTTTAAAGTATTTAATTTAGTATGCTTATTGCCTAGATTAAGCAAGAAATCAAGTTACTCCTACTTATCGACGAGGACCACATTTACGCTAAAACAGTGAAAATACTACCCAACAATCGAGTAACAATTAGCATGTCATTTAATTGCACATAATTCTTATATGCAGTTGCTAAATTGCTCGGTTTGTTATTTTATTTGACTGCTTATTGCATTTACACTGACAGATGTCAATTAAATTGAGTAATAGCAAGCGGCAGTTTACGGTTGGTTTGAGTTATTATACAAATAATTACTGAATTGACATTCCATAGGTAGTCAATTTAATGGAAACAATTAATTGCAAATAAAATATAATATTTTTTAATAGTGGCCACTCCATATTAGGTAACTGACAGTTGACGAAATTTGTAGTTCATGAATAAGATTTGCTCTTTGAATATTAATTTTGAAAATATTTAAAAAAGCAAAGAAAAAACGTTAACTTCGTTTGCACCGAAGCTATAATGCTCTTCACAGGCGCATTTCTTATAGCATAAAAGGGTATAAAAAGATCTTTATCTTCATTTTTAACGATCAGTTTGTATGGCAGCTATATGCTATAATGGTTCGGACTGAACAAATTTTTACGGTGATTGTAACGTTTCTTTGAATAATAATACATGCCGAAACTCGTGAAGATATCTCGTTAAATGTAAAATTGTTCCAAACAAGTATTTGATTTGGAATAGTTTGTAAGATAGCTGTATGCTATAGTGGAGCGATCTGAATTTTTTCGGAGCTAGCGTTGCATTTGACAATAAGCCATGCCAAGATATTTCGTGAAGATATTTTGCCAAATAAAAAAGTTTTCTATACAAGGTCTACATTTTTGCCGTCGATCAGTTTGTATAGCAGCTATATCATATAGTAATCCGATCTGAACAATGCGTTTGAATATTGTAGCTATCTCTTGAATAATAATCCATGCCAAATTGCGTGAAGATATCTTGTCAAATAAAAAATATTTCCACACATGGTTTGAATTTTGAACGTTTATGGTAGTTTGTATGACAGCTATATGCCATAGTGGTCCTATTACGGCGATTTTTTGCTATAAATGGTAGCTGTCATTGCTAATAACATGTTTTGGCTTACTTTTTATTTAATAAAAAAAGGGATTTTACTTACAAAGCATAAAATCTTCATTGTTAAATGCATACCTGTAATGAAAAAAAAAAAATTTTTTAAATTTATTAAAAAATAATTTTTAGTGATAAAAAAAAGTATATGCATGTAAAATTACTTAAAATGCAGCTTTAAATTTACAATCAATAGCTAACATTACATTTGTGTGCGCTTGGGCCTCTATGTGCCTGCGCCTTCTATAAAACAATCAACGGAAATAGCTGATTGCTTCTGTAGGAAAAAACTGTGTGCTATAAAAGTTTTGTAGGGTTTTTCTCGTTAAGCGCTTAATCACAATCGTTTTCTAAATACACAAATTTACGAGAAATAACTTTATTTGTTACTGACTGACGGTCAGCTGTGTATTAATTAAATTTAGTGCAAAGTACAATATTTTCAGGTTTTAACACACGATTTCATGCTAATATTAGCAGCTCGATATTTCAGAGGTAATCACTTTTAAAGGTTAAACTGCATTTAATAATTAACTTTAGTATAGTAAGCTTACACACAACAGTATTTACATACGCGGCCAATAAATGCAAACGCACGCCAGAGTAATTATACAAAAGCAATCAATTATTTCACAAATATTGTATTTATGCGGGTATGTTTAAGTGAGACGCGAGGAAATTGTAACTGAAATAACTTAAACTTAAACATAACACCGATTTTTACAAAAAATGTGATAATTTTAAAATAAACCTGCTTATAATAAATAAAAAGTGTTAATTTTAAACCAGCTTGCAATAAACACTTTTTAAATTGAAAAAGAAACTTGCAGGTGTGACACTGATTTTCGGAGAAGGCTTGTTCCTCAATTGAGCGTAATCTGAAGCAATTATTGTGCTTACAATTCAGCAAACTATAATCAATCAAATAATTATTTTTATTTTCAAATCTTGTAATACAAGATAAGTGCTACATTCGATAAGTGCTGTCAGATTTTGAGCACATATCGATAACTGTGATATGAATAACTTATTGGTATGCGGCAACTAAAAGTTTTCCAAAACAATAAATGTTTTTAAGAGTTTATCAGCTGAAATTATGTAGTTTTTTTAATAAAAAAAACGCTATAAATTTTTTTTTTTAATTTTGATAACCCCACGGCAATTGAACTGTACTATAAATTCTCGCCTCTGCTTTGCTTTAACGTCGAAGAGTATTTTTATTTTTAGATTTGCTTGTATTAGGCAATAATTAAATTAATTTACAAGCATCAATATCAATATTTTTATTTATGCATACATATAAACATAGCGGTTACTTAACATAGTACGTATCATTGGAGGGGAGAATGCTATTGAAGTTCAAGCTAATTTTTTATGTTTTGTATTTTATTTCTTTTTTTTTTTTTTTGAATTTTGTGTAAAAACCATTGCAACAGCAACTTACATACATATTTACAAATAAATATTTCTTAACGTACATATGTGCATACATACATACCTACACATGTGACAGCACTCGTTAATGTTATCAGCACAAAAAAATATATATTATATTCATGTGCTTATCAGTTCAATTTTTTCAGCTTCAATTTGTTCATTTATGTATTTGCAAATTTGTGCACGGAAATGGAAAAGGCATGTCAGGAATCACTAGAGACCAGCAGTTGACAACAGCGTTTAAAAAGGAAAACAATATGTAATTACCATACTTTTTTAAGGTGATACGCAAGACGTGTTTAAAACAAATGAATACAAGAAAAAAAGCACCGAAGCTACAAGCACTTGATTTGGATCGATATGTTTGAATGGCAGCTAACAAGGTCTAAATTTTTGCCGAACAATTTGTAAGGCAGCTATATGCTGTAATGGACTTAACTGAATAATTCATTTGGATATGGCAGCCTTGCCTTGTACAATAATCCTTGCCGAATAGCGACGTGAAGATAATTTGTCAAATAAAAAAGTTTTTCATACAAAAACTTGATTTTTAAACGTCACTTTATATGACAGCTATATGCTATGATGGACCAATATTGGCGATTTCAGATGAGCAGCTGGAAAGAAGAACGTGTGACAAACTTAATATACCCTATTCAGGGTATAATTACTGTCGTAAACGCCCACCAAAAAGTTGTGTAAATAAAGGCGGTTGTCAGTTTGACGTCAAAAATGATTCCTTCCATAGACTTGCATTTGTTTTTGTTTTAATAAACATCACTGCTTTGATTTGTTTGAAATGTATTATTTTAAGGACAAATTTTATTTATTTACTTCATAATTTCGATTATATTTTAGCTGTCGAACGCTAGCAGGAAATTTACTTTCGTTACTGTTTGTGGTTTTCCATTCTGTGGCTTGGCATTCTTTAGAAAAATTCATATGGCGCGAAATTCAGTTGGCTTCAGTATAATGTGTGACTTCCTGCAATTACTGCTTATATGCATCATCACAGATTAAACAGAAAATTCATAAAAAAAACTCACATTTCACTCTTCATCTGAAAAAAGCACACTAATTTAGTTTCAAAATTTTGAGGTTTCATTAATTTCCACTTCCGTCGTAATTAAATTTGTTTCGCAAAAATTATTATATATTTTTTTGACAAATAAAGCACTTGTAATTGGCAACGCCGCTTAGGTCAGCACGCGAAAGTAAATACGCACTATGTATGAGATAAAACTACGTAAAAGTCTTGGAAAGCACACAAAGCACGTACCGGCAATGATTTCTCAAGCGTCACCAAACGACGTGTGGTAATAAAACCGTGAAAAAAGAAAAGAAAATAAAGAATCACAACAATTGCGCAAAGCAATACTACGCGGACTTTTCACTAACTATTTTTATTAATATATCCTTTCGTATATGATATATGTATGGGCACTTCCATTGAACAATTGCTTTCTTTCACTTGGAGCGGAGAATACCATATACGTGACGGCTTCTCCAGCTGCTGCGCATCAGCTTTTTCATTGTACGCGACGTGACGCGTTCGAATCGAGTCGAGAGTATTGAATGTTTAAATTTTGCTGAGTAGATTCCAGCATAGCAATGCGCCAGTTTGCTGATGGGAGCAACGAAGCTGTACGCTGACTAGCAGAGCTTGCTGTTGTTGTGCAGTGTATGCGTTTTTAATGGAGAGAGTTGCCATGTGGTTATATTTGATGGTATTTATATGTGTGAAAACGAGTGAAAAAATCAAAAATTTTTTTGATTTAAAAAACTGCCTTAAATGAAGCTATTTGGCTGTTTAATATCCGTTGAATAAGAATAAAAAACTAGAAAACTAGAGTAAGGATGGTTCTACATTTTTAGCAAACTTTGGAGGAGCTGTTCTAGCAAATTATTGTGAAACGTATGGATATAATACAGTAAACTAAATACGCTCGAATTTAAGGGCATGAAATAGCAAAATTTTAATTATATTTCTGTCTTAAAAAAGTAACTTATTTGTCCGATAAAACAACCAGTAAGGAGTTGAAAGTGTCTAGCAAATGTTGCGCGCTTGCGTTAACAGAAAGTTCTAAAAACTAGTCTTCCACCACATAGAGGGTAAATTAATAAAAAACACCTCAACATTTTACCAATACATGGCAACCCTGGTTATAATTGAAAATAGTGTGCATCTCTCATAATGTACATACATTGTTTTAGTACCACAATGCCGCCTACACCGGAACCGAAAAAGCGCTGTAATTGCTGTCATAAGAGTGATATAGTATTCAAATGAGCAAGATGAGCTCAGTATGTATGTACAATAAGTATGTATGTCAGTATGTAAATATGCCTTGGCAAGAGTAAAACCGTGTATTTTTTTGTGTAAATTTTTCAATTGAATTAGTTTGCTCTGTAGAACTCATGAGTATTTTATGTACCTTTCTTTTTAAACTGCATTTGTATGTATATATTCTATATTGTACATATGAACCAATTGTCTTAATCCAGTAATGTTTTCATAACTATTTACATTTTCTGAGTGCTTATCTCTGCTGTGCGGCCACTTCAGGCGTTGATGGCACGAGTCGCTCGAAATAAAAACGAAATAAAAAGAAAACAAGTAAAAACGTCAACTTCGGCTGCTGCGAAGTCTTAATACCCTTCATACGTGCATTTCTTACAGCATAAAAGTGTATAACAAGAATTTTATCTTGATTTGGTTCGGTCAGTTTGTATGGCAGCTATATGCTATAGTGGTCCGATCGGAATAATTTGTGCGGAGCTAATAGCGGTACATTTGACAATAATCCATACCGAATCTCGTGTAGATATTTCGTCAAATAAAAAAGTTTTTCATACATTCTCTAAATTTTTGTCAATCAGTTTGTATGGAAGCTATATCCTATAGTGGTCCGATCTGAACAATATTATCGTAGATTGTAGCATTGCCTTAGGCTATAATCCATAACAAATTTCGTAAAGATATATAGTAAAATAAAAAAGTTGTTCATACATGGGCTTCAGTTTGTATGGTGGCTATGTGTGTATATTAGGTTGGGACTGTTTTTTTTTTAGCTCATATTATAAAAAACACTTTGAAAAGCAATGAAGCAATAAAGCGAAAGCGAGCTGATATTATTGCAATTGCAGCTCCGTTATGTAGGCTTTTGTTTATATTTATGCTGCACAAATACAGCAAAGCAGTGGGCGGCATGGCCAGTAAATGATAGCAACATAAAAGAGTGAAGCAAAGATGTAAATTGAAAATAAATGGAGAGCGCTTGGCGTATGTGCCGTTTGTGCGGCAAGACAATGTTGCAATTTTATTGTTGCATACTTATTTTGAAAATATTTCGAATAAAAACGTTTTTGTTACTTTCAATGCTTGAAAATGTTGCACAACATTTTTATTTGGCTTTAAAGCAAACCATAAATTTTGTGTTAATTGGCCGCGAATAGATTTCAAAGCGCTGCATATATTGTAGTTTCACAACGCTCACAGCAATCTGCGCCTATATTTATATTTATACAAAATTTACTTTTGTTCTGCGTTCGGCCAGTTGCAATATTTTTCAAACTGAACACATAAATTATCATATGTTTTTGTTGCACTTCTGCTTTGCAGCTTAATTGACGTTTGCCTACTCAAGTGACAGCCAATTGAGCGCTCGCAAATTTAAGTGTAATCACCAATTGTTGCAGTTGCAATTGCAATGGCAGGCAAGTAGGTCAATTAATTGATGAAGTTTGCAACAAATATACAACTTATTGCCACAGATATTCAATATCAATTTAAATGTGCATTTATTTGTTTTTAAATTACTGCTTGCCTTAATTTGATTGATCGCGATCAACAGTGCTGCGAGCAATGATTGATGTGACATGTTTTTCAAGTGTGATTCTGCAATTCGGTAATTTTGCTACAGTCGAACATTTTAGCAATAAATTATATGAGTAAACAGTGAAAATTTAATTGTAATGACGCAATAATAATAATTATTGATCACCATATAATAATGATTACATATAATATATTGGCTCAAACAACGCACGAACTGCATTGACACCAAAATTTTATCGTGAATTTAAATTACAGTAGAATTACGTATGTGTATGTATGTATATTTTGAGATGAAATTGAAAACAAGAAAAAACGAAACTATAAATGCACCGAAGCTATAATACGCTTCACAAATAAAAAAAAGCTTTCCAGTTTACAAGAACTTGATTATGATTGTTAAGTTTGTATGGCAGCTATATGCTACAGTGGTCCGATAGCGACGGTTCCTATAATGACCACAAACAATTTTTTTAAGTTGATAACTTTTAATTGGCCAGAAAGAGGTACTTCCATAGCTTCTCGAATACTTAGGAACAATTAATTTATTACGAAATAAAAATTTTAACTCGAAATTTAATTAAAAGTGAGTGAGTTTTTTTTCCAAAAATTATTATTTTTTTTATAATCAACAAATTCTAGCCTCGGGCTAAACAAAAAAAAATTGTATCGCTCCACCCTACTATACACTTTTTAGGTTATAAAAATGCGTTGAACAATAATGACTATTGGCTAGTGGTTAAAACGACGTACTCATATTTAAATATATGTATACAAAGAATCTGCATACAAATAAAAGAAAAATCAATAAATTTGCATTATGACTTTTAAAAAAATTCGAAAGATTTCCCTGTATAAGAATGCACTCCTCAGCCCTTCACCCAAAAATCAAACGATAACTAACTAATGATTGCTGTATGACCCAGTTAACATCAACAATTTAGAGTCCGTATGCAAATACTTTATTTAACGGCAAATGTGTCACTGCTATTTATACCAGCGCATGTAAGCGCCTGCTAAATTGCAGCATCTACACCAATCGTTAGCAATACTAGACATGACAAACACCTAAATTGACATTAAGCTCTCTAGTAAAATGACGTTTGGTTGTCATTTTCTCGGTGTAACTTTTAGGCTATGCAAGTGTCATTATTTATTTATTTATACATACATTCTTTCAAATGCAATGCAAGCAAATTACGAAATAACCGAAGCCAGCAGTAAATTCACGCGAAAGACGAGAGCTCACGCGTGTGAGATGTGTCTGGCGTTGTAGAATCAACAAATTTCTTTTTTTACTAATTTTACTCATTGCCTGTTGTATTTCGTGCCATTTTTGTTACACTGGCGTGAGAAATGCTTATTGCGCCATTGACGAAGTGAAGATAAACGTGTCGTGAATTTTTCAGTAAAAGTTTGCAGTTGTTGAGACATGTGCGCGCAATTCTTATTAGGAATGCTTTGAAAAGTTCAAACTCCAAATTGGTTATGTTTAAATAAATGAGGAGCTGTATGCGTGCAATAAATATATAATTAAAATATTAAAATTGCTTGCAAGGTACATACATAAATAAAGCAGCGTTGAAGAAAGCCGTTGCTATGAAAGTGGCGTCTACATAACCGAACTCAGCTTTTTATTTGGCCAAAGACTGTCAACTTGGCAGCATTCTACAAAATTATTTCAGAAATGATTTGCGCTGCTACAACTACAACAAAGCATTTCGCGCACAAAAACAAATTAAGTTCGAATTCCAAGTCTTTTAAAGCATTTAAAATTTTTAAAGTAAAAAAAAAAAATAAATAAATAAAAACTAAGAAACCCGCAATTAGCGTTGCAGGCAAGCCCACACTCAAATGCATGCACGCGATTCGCTGCACATACACACATAGTTGCAGAACATGGCAAGTTAGCGCTTTGTTTGCCATTCCGCCAGCTTGTAACACACACGCACACACATTTACATACATGCCTTGCATAGTTGGCTGCCACGCAAATGTTTGTCCTTGTTGCAGCAGCACTTTGCCGGCCATCTTGCCACTTAGTGCGCCAAGCAGCACATCCTGTTTCCGGCGCGCTAATATATGCTGGGCGTTGGGAAACTTACTGCAACAGACAACCGAGCGCTGCTCAACCCTTCGCTTGAACTTAAAGTACGACATAACCTTGTTTAAAAAGTTGCCAACAGCGTGTGTTTTTGCTATTGTTGCAGACTTTCAGCGCATGCCAAAGGTGTAGAGTTCACGTGTAGCGGCTTTGCTGATTGCAGGCGCGCTTTCTAGCCTGTTTTTTGCATAAAATGGACACATGTGTGCCAAAGAGAGTTCAAGGTGAAGCTCAACGTTAGTGCAGCGGGCATTTATACGGTAACTAAGCACTATCTGACTTTTGAGAAAGGTAACTTCGTTCATTATAAAAAATATGGCTACTCAATTAAGGCAATAAATAATTGCGCTAATGTAATAGTGCCTCAGCAGCTTTGTTTGTCGTATTAAATCACACTGAAAGCAGAAATAGCATACAATTAAGGATATGTTAAGACACTTTGCAGCTTTTCATTACCAGCGTGGTAATAGACGTTAGTGTTTGGAATCGGCCCACAACGGAACACGCTTATAGAAGTAAGCCTTAAAAGTTCGCATCCCTAAGTTGAATTAAGCTATGCGTCTTTAGGCAAATGCAAGCATATAAATACTCAAATCAAAAGCAGCTTACTTTCCATTCATTAGCCAACAAAGCGCACGATTTATAAACACAAGTGAATAGTAGTAATTCAAAGCCTTATATACAACTATCCTCGTCGAATGTCAAACCACTTGACCTTGTGACGTGTTTCATACACATGCACATTATTACAAATAATCTAATGCAAGTAGCACGCATTAAGCGTAAAACACTTTTATTTAAGTTACCGTAAGCTTACCTTGCACACAATTCCTTCTGACTACTGACATACCCAGTAGCACAGTAGCCGGTTTCGCCTGTGCCGTCCGCCCAACAGGCGGTATTGTCATTCAGCTTCATAATAATGCCAACTTTTTCACTTTGACTACACGCCTTTCCGTTGCTGCGCGCATGTCTGGAGGCCGCCGACGCCGTCGAGGTGGTGGCGGAGCTTGTTGATGTCGTTGATGATGTTGAGGATGAGCAAGTTTTAGTTGCTACCGCATGCGTGGCTTTGTTAGTTGCTTTGGTATTTGTGGCATTATGCCCGAAACCGGCAAACTTCTTATGCGTGCTGAAGCTGCGGCGTAACGATTGCAAGCTGTGACGCAAGAATGACTCGCGTTTGAAGCCATTTTGTTTGGATTTGTTTGCGTTGACTGTAGGCGGCGGTGGCGCCGCCCGGTCTGGTGGCTGCCGCGTGCTCGTCATTGCCGCACTCGGCAACGATTTGGGACGCGCATGCACTTCACTCACCACACCCTCCATAATAACGGAGGGATGACGCAGCAAGGCACGTAAATCCTCGTCCTCTTCGGTAACCGTTTTGTTCGCTTTGCATTTTTGCGCTGTCGCATTTGTTTTATTTTGTTCGTTTTTGGCACTTGTTTGCGGCTTTGCGGGCGCAGCGTCGAGTAGCAGCGCGTCTATTTGGCGGTAAGTAGTAAAATTTTTTGCGCGTTGTTTAGACTGCTGCGGCAACGCGTGATTTTTTAGTGATTTATCGTTGAAGCTGTACGACTTGATGAGAAACAGTTTGGACTCATTTTTCTTCACATTCAAACGCTTGATATGCGAATCCGAACTATTGCGCGGCAGCGACGCAATGTCAACGGTGTTTTGTATGGTGTTGGACATGTTTGCTGTGCAGTTTTTGGTATTGACGGTATACGTGGATATAAGACAATTCAATACTGCTGCTTGGCAAATCAAACTGTCATACATCATGGGCTGTCAAACTGTGGTTTATGAGTTTATTTATGTATTTACAATTTCACCGTTTATTTGACTTTTTATTGCATTTTTATCGAAATTGATTTTTAACTTGTTTTATTGGGGGCGTTTAAGCTTATTAAACATGATAAACACGCGCCGACGACGCTGGCGATCGATCAGTCGCACCAATTCTTAGGCAAACAACCCTGTTTTTGTACATGCGCACCTGTAATACACACACACACACACACTCATCGGCGATTAGTAGCATGTTAGCGCTTTGGTCTGCTGACAGCTAAGGTTGCCTTAGGCGCGGGCGGTGTTGCGCGCTGCTCCTTGCTTATATGTCCGTCGCAGCGCGCTCGTTTAGTCAACTGACGTTTGACGCTTTATGGCTATGCATAGTCCATATTTAATTTATACATACATATACAGCGGTAAGCAAAACACAGCCGATTTCTTATTTTAGTAGCGCTTGTTATATAAAATCGTAATTAGCGCAAATTATTTAATTTTATTTCAATTTTCTATCATATCTATTATACTTTGTTTTGGTTTTGTTTTTTGTTTCTACACTCAATTTTACACTTTTGTTGTTGTCGGCACGGCATCAGCTGTTTTCTAACACCAGTCAAACAGGTTTGACGTAAGAGTATACGCTCACAAAAATAACAACCGCTACAAGCGCAGCAACACAATTTCTAACGACTTTTTGCTGGCACAAACTTTCTTCATATGCTTGACCGAATATTGCCAACACTTCGCCCGATGACACACTGATGTCATTTTATTTACAAAGCTAACGGAAATACACGTACAAACTTCACAATTGATTTCATGCAATAGCTGACATTTATTTTCAGATTTTTATCGGCAATTAATGCATGAGCAAACGCGTAATTTATCGCTAAACAACAACTATGCGTCACAACTATTTTTTTACTGCAGCTTTACAACGAACGCTCGCGCTTTACAACTATACAAAACAAAATAATAATAAAAATTGTAGTCGACGTACTACTCGCCGTTGTTCCATCGCCGTCATGCGCCGAATTCGCACTGAAGCCACAGCGTTGCTATCGCCAAGGTTCGAGCGGCGGACGCGTCACATGCCGGCGTTGTTGGGCGCGTTTGCGCGACGCCCATGTTGATTTGGTCGTTTGCTTGTTTATTTGTGTTGGTAGTGGTAACGTCGGTCAAAAGTATGCGATAGTGGTGCGTGCGTGTGGTTTGCCGGACGGAACGGTTGATAAGCGGCGAGTTGTTCTGACGATTAATAAATTTTTGGACACCAGCGCGTTTGATGTTACGAAAAAAAGTTGACTTTTAAGCGAGTGTGAGCTAATTTAAGTTCAACACAAAAAGTGCAGTTCGTTTGCTAATTAATAATAATAACAGTGAAGTTTTGTTTTATGAATTTTATGCAACGATTTCCTGCTTTTTTATATCGTAATAATTTATTTATATTGTCACAAAAAGCGGTTATCGATCACCTTTTATTTTTATACCCGAAATACCATATTTCCATATGGTTTAGGTTAGGTTACACTGACTGGCTTATTGCTCTTTTAACTATGCTACAAAATTTCTAACACCCAGAAGAAGACGTGAGACCCCATAAAGTATATATTTTTTTGTCTTATTTAATTCTATAACATCTATAGAATATTGTGCTAAATTCTCAAGTTGATCCGAGTAATAGTTTTGGAGATAATTTACAAGGTCTTGCCACGGAGGATTTTTTTGTTAAATAACAACTATTTAAAAATCAATCAAACATATTGTTTAGATCATTCAAACTGATCGATTAAACTCAAGATGAGCATCTTTATCTTTGAGTTTGGCACAAGATACTTTTTCCTCATTAAGTTAACTTAATTTGACTTGAAGGTCGCAAGAGAGTCCAAAACCCCTTTAAAATATATCTTAAATAAAATTCAAACATATTTTGACAAAACTTCACGCTCCAAAGTTTTAAAAACATAAATAAATAATTTCGGTTCCTTTTTTTTCAGAGCGTGGTTTTTTTATTTGAGATTTTTTTATTTTATTTTTATATCTTGATGTCAATTAATTATGTTTTGTTTACTAAGTTGAGCTGCGTTAAGACACTATGTGCGAGCATTATATTCCGTTTGTGATAACTAATTTTATCAGCTGTTATCGCATTCTAACAAAATGTGGCGGCTTTCAAGCACAAAGTCATGTTGAATACTCATGTGTACTTCATTTTAATAATGTACGACTTTTGAAGGTCTTTCCCACTATATCTAGCTGTACTTGTGCGCAGCTTGTAAACTTGCTGTAAAGTGAAAGACGGGGCGTATACGTGTTTTCTGTGTGCGATAAATTAAAATTTGAGGGCGTTTGAACCACGTGAGCACTTGTTTTGCAGAAATTTGTGTTTGCGCTGTAGATTTAGTCGAGTAAAGTTGCAAATCTAACGAGTCAAAGAGTTCAGCGTGTTATGAAAAAATATTAAATTTTATTTATATTTACTAATTTTATTTATATAAATTTTACGCGAAGCCATAAATATTTTTAATTAAACGCAGAAGTAAACAAAAATATTTACACTTGCTCTATGGTAGTGCAAAAAAAAAAGCCAATTGTGTTTTTGCTTGCGACTGAGCAGGCAATTGGTTAACACACAGTATGGACGCATATTAAAAGCCGAGTGCTAATCGTACGATAGTAGTTAAAGAGCACTTCAAGTCAAAGTTCGATAGCATACTACGACGCTCATGTAGGTGCTCTAATCTTTTATCGATACATTTCATTCGCTATCAATACAGACTAACATAGAAAATAGCGCAAAATATTGAAAATATCCGGCAGTATAAAAATAATTTGGTGATTAATAACTTAAAAAAAAAGTTAATGAGTCATAAAAAAAATAGCAGCATATTAATACAAATTGATATTATTTCCTTCCGTTGCTTGCTGGAATTTTTGCATTAAAGGTGCGTTGAAAACGCAAATTGATTCATAATCTTAAGCGCCACAGGTGTTTAAGGAAAAAAAGCCGGCAAGCCTTGGTGGATTTCGATAGCCCATAAGCGAAGTAGTTTATGTTTACTGCTTCCAAAGGTTAATCACTTTTAATTGTGAGCAATTTCTCGCTGATATTGCAATAAAACCATTACTATTGGCACTAATTTTAAATTTCGACTTTTAGCATTACGTCTATCAGCAGATAACTAAGCGGTTTTAGGTGACTCAATGAGAATAATAAAAACAAAGAAATTTTATAAAAATAAAACAATTTGAAATTATAAAGATATAATTTTCGGAAAAGTAATATTTTAATATTTTATAGCCAAAAATTGAATAGTAAATAGCAAAAGAAGCAGGCATCACTAAAAATCAATATAATTAATTAAGAGTAAAAATTCAAAGAAAAAAAAACAATATAATTAATTATGAGTAAAAATTCAAAAAAAAAATGAATATACTTAATTTAGAGTAAAAATTAAAAAAAAATCAATATAATTAATTATGAGTAAAAATTCAAAAACAAAAAATCAATATAATTAATTTAGAGTAAAAATTTAAAAAAAAAATCAATATAATTAATTATGAATAAAAATTAAAAAAAAAATCAATATAATTAATTTAGAGTAAAAATTAAAAAAAACATCAATATAATTAATCATGAATAAAAATTTAAAACAAAAAAAAATAACATTACTCAAAAAATCTTTAGGAAAAAATTACGACTGATGTGCTAAGCGGCCTGTGGTACCCCCACAAGGGGTTCTGATTACGAAACAGAGTTCAAAAATTTTCCAACACGTACAGTTATTTTGGTAATTTTAGTAAATGCTGGTGGTTTGACCCCTACACCGCTTAACTATAACACAAAAAATATCCTACATTTTAGGAAATTTTTACTATCATTTTCGGTTTTAGCAACACAAAATCAGCAAGAAACAGCTTCTAACAGCACAATCGCAAAATGCCTGTAAACTAGTGTAATTTTTCATAAATTTAAATTTTTGTAACTTCGCACTATTTAATTTAAAATGGTTTCAGCTAACTGCATGTAAAGTTTCTTTTGCGACTCTATTGAATTTATCGCGTTATTCGCAACCAAGTGCTAAAACTAAATATGGTGATCTTTCAAGTAAAACTGTTTTGCTCAATTTTTTATAAAGTAACGCATATAAAATTTTTATTCTATTTGTTTCTACAAGCGTGTAGCTAAATTCACTGAAAATTTCAGTTGGCTATTCCCAGGATGCCAGAAGGCGATATCGGATCGCTATAGAATAAAGTTCTAGAAGACTTTTTAATTTCACGAGACATGTTCACGAAATTTGGAACGGATCATTATTTAAGGCAATAACGGAATCTCCCAAGAAATTGTTTACATCGGATGAATATAGCATATAGCTGCCATACAAATTGAACGAAACAAGTTTATCTAAGGAACATTTTGTATTTCTGAAGAGTATTATAGCTTCGGAGCCACCGAAGTTTTTGCCTAATTTTCTTATTTACAAGTAACTCAGAACATATAATACAAATACAGATTACGCTATCTATAAAAAAAAATATTACGGCGAATCAATAACACCTGCTCTATCTATATATTTAGTGTTATCATGAGACACAAGTCACAAAGCACACGATAAAGCATCATTTCTGTCTATTTGATAAAAAAAAACCCAGGCGGTGTAAACAAAAATACAACGAGCAAGTGCGTAAGTTTAACGAGTTACAAATTGTTTGATGAAACAAACATTATTATAATTAATAAATGTAGTGATGTACAGTGGTTGCAAAAAGTTATTTTACTTTTTAGAATTACTAAACCGTTTGAGTACCACTGGTTCCAGCTTATATTTGCGGTTAAAAAATTACAATTTAAGGCTTATTAAAATTTATGGGTATAGTTATATGTATATATATTGTGAATTTAAGTAGCAGTGCTACTCAGTAATCGTTTTTTATTAGTTGTGTTTTTGCTTTACGATTTTCACTCACATTGCCTTAGCCCCAGCAGTTTAATTTGAGGCACTTAAGCAGCTGATAGTAGATATTTTAAAATTGCTTAAAAGAATTTGTTGTTTTGAATGTTATCTGGTTTGCTTGTGTTATTAACCTAATTCATTGTTGTTTTCTATTTTACTTTCACAACGAAAATCGTTTAACTTATTGCAACAACTTAGTGATTGCTGGCATGACATGTGGTGCGACATGCGACTAACTACACTACAGCAGGTGTCGGAGGCATTAGTAGATTTTTATTAAAATTAAGAAAATATTGCACAGTTGCTCACTCGATTTGCCAGAACGAAAATTTTTTTACCGAATTAACGTTTTCTTAAAAAATTATCTATATAAAGATCAGGCAATCGTATGCCTTTAAGGGGTTACATGGGTTCCACGCCATATTTTCTGCCAAAAATACAATTTTCATTTTATTTGTTTTTCCTTCGTCTAACACCTAGATTATGGTCTTAATTCAAACACGAATTTTTTTGCTTTTACTTTTGATGATCCTGTCAGTCATTCTGCTGTCAACGCGGAAGCACCTTTTTCCGAGGGACTGTCGGAAATGACGTCGCAATAACCGAGCTTCGAAATTTTCACAAAATCTTTACCAAATATCTATTTTCGGAATAATAAAAAGTTTGAATAAAATATATAATTTTTTATATGAAAAAAAAATTATCGAAAATAGGGTGTTTTTTGCTCGACGAAACCCCTTAAATTAGCTTTAAAACCAATTTCCAAAATGATTTCCTCAAATCCATAAATAAATATTATATATTACAATTTTATGCCCAAATCGAACTTTTTACTTATCAACGCGCGATTTCAAGCTATCTCTCAAAATCTGTCTTTCAAAAAAGTTACATGTAGAAGCAACAATAAAGTAATCGAGTTGAATTCTTATAAGAGCGTATGCGGATACCTCATCAAGGTGGTATAGCCGCTATCGTCAATGCTACCAAGTTTTTTTGCATATTTTAGATCAAATTTACCATTGTGAATGCTTCAAATGACAAATGCAATTACAAATATCTTTTTGTTTTGTATTTTTAAATCTTAA